CCCTTAACTTTATCTATGGCTGTAATTATATAGGGCTTCCCAAAACTCCCGGGACAGAGCTATAAGTTTTGAACGAGTGAAGAAAAAAATTTGAAAAATTGGGGATCACTAAAGAGTCATAAAACTACAATCTTAGATAGTTTAAAACTTTCATGCAATGTGTTTTTTTAGAGGATGACCACCCCCACATTTTTAAATAGCAACCCCTGTCGAGTTTTACCTTATTTTAAAGGTAATGAAAAAAGAAACAACCCCATAAACCAACACCCGATATCTTAATTCTTTCAAGAATTATGAGGGGTTGACTACCAAATGGGAAAATAAAATGTTTCTTGCACGTTTATTACGATTTTTATAACAAATGTTCAAATTGTCGACTTTCTTCGGTCTCGCAATGACCCAAACGCTCATAAATGGAATTTTGAACTGACAGTAGCATATCCCTAGTGTAGTAGATATTGGTGTTTTCTTCAAGTATGCAATTTTCTAAATCATTTATAGATGTTAGTTTAAGAAAAAATCGAGTAGTGTTAGATCAGGAGTGGCCACTCAATTTCACCTCTTCTACCAATCCAACGGTTTGGAAACGTGCGGCTTAAACAGTCTCGGACTGGGCGACTAAAATGTAGAGGAGCACCATCTTCTTGGAACCACTTATTGTCAATACCATTAGGGCATACGGGTACACTTGGAACCACTTGATTTTCTAACAATTGCAGATATCTGTCTCCGTCAAAATTTCCTTTAATAAAAAATGGATTACATTCTCTCCCATAATACCAGCCTATACATTAATATTCTGCGGTCTCTGAGTATGATCTTCCCTTATTAAACGTGGATTTTCGTCATTCCAATAACGACAATTGTGCCTATTAACCTTACCATTCAACTAGAAAGTAGCCTCATCAGAGAAAACAACGCTGAAAAGAAAATTTCTGTCAATATCACTTTTTTCACGTACTATTTCAGCAAATTCCAACCTTCTTTCGAAGTCACCTTCGTTCAATTCGTGAACTAGGTGAAACTTATAGGGGAAATACCTAGTTATTCCTTTTCAAAATTCTGTGGACAAAGCTTTTACCAATTTCATGTACCTCAGACGCTTTTAATATGGAACTTGAAGGTTCTTCAATAAAAGACAGTAACACTTCTTCAGCTTTTTCTGGAGTTGTTGCAGATTTCGTTCTACCAGTTCTCGGAAGATTTTGCACAGTTCCCTCTTCTTGAAATCTTCTAACAGTTCTTTCAGTTTCTTCTGATTTTCAGATGGGGACTTCTCATTTTGTAAATATATTAAAAGCTCTGTTCTTAAGTGAAATACTCCTTTGAAAACGTTGCCCCTTGAAAGCCACTTTACAGTCAGTTACACTCAGTGTGATAAAGCAGATTTTCAAATAAAGTAGTCATAACGGTTTTCATAATACAGTCCATTTCAGGTGGCAAAGGTTTTGACGCAAGAGATTCTCGATGTAAAAAACAATGTCTCCACGATAAGCCCAGATTGGTGATCGGTTATGGCTTTAGCGCCATTTGTGCATATAGCACAGGTCTCGAATGGGAAACAAAATATATCTTCTTTAATGCAATTATTTGTATCATATCTTACAAACGTAACAAATTGGGTACATATATCTGTGGACTCGTCTATTTGTCGAGATAAATACGTGCAGCTATTAAGGTTTCCCACAAAATGTGTATGAATATCTTTTGCCATATCACTAATTCTTCTTTGGACAGTATTATTTGACAGAGGTATTGTATTTCATGTTGCAGCATCTTTTTCACCAAACATTATATGGATCATGTTTATCAGAAGGGGACCAACTGCCAAAGTATAGAAATGGCAGGAAATCGTCGGACATATTGATGATTTTTTAAAATCAACATTTTTTTTGAATACAATAATAAATGTATTTATGCTTCTTCATTATCTGGCTCTGGCTGAAAATCGAGGTTTTCGACAAAGCCATCTAAATTATTGTCAAAATCCATGCTTCTGAGGTTCTTGTAGAAATTTTTAGCATCCAATGGAATAAAGGGCATTAAAGACGTCCTACAAATTTTTGTTTGAAATTTCTGTACAGTTGGGCCAAAGAATTTTTAAATCGTTCTTAAAAGCAAATGAAGCCTATGTTTTTGAATTTTTCTGAAGCAATACTTCATGGAATTCGCCATTTTCATTATGAGTGTATTTTAAGAAAATTGAAAATGGTTCTAAATTTCGTGCTCATCTCCGTTATAATCCGTGGGTTTATTTTCGTCTGCAATGTTTCATTATATTGAGGTAACCTCCCGTCGTATATTTTTTTTGGTTTAATTTAATTGCCTTTTCTATGTCCGAAAAATCTGAATCATTTGGTAGATAACTGTGGCCAGATATTAAGTACTTAAAATAGATCGTTTTTAATGTAGGGTGGGAGCTAAGTACGTGCTTTAGCATTAAAACGATGTATGTAGGAAAGGGGAGAGTATGCTTACGCATACAGCACCTAGGCCCCAACCGACCCCCATTAAAACGATTTTAACGTTTCTGTTTTGGCAGCTATCTGACTACATTATTAGAGTTTCTGTATACCGCTTTAAAAGAAGTTCTATAAATCTTTTTAGACATGACCCCACCTCTTGTGCTTCTCTTCTGGTCTCTCCTTTTTTCCATATAAAACAGTATGCTTTATTGCCAGAGTGTATGCCCTCATTATAGAGCCAGAGTTGGCGCTTGTAGAAAACAATATTTGTAGGAATATTCGGCAAAGGCAAGGTTTTCTCCATATCCAAGTTTGAAGTTTTTCATCCCCTTTGGATATCTCAAAATCATTTTTCATTTTGTTCTTGCTATTTCAGCTGCTTCTAGGTGTAAATTGTGTGCTACTTTTAGTTCCTCAGTGTCCTGTTCCAATACAGCGTTTTCTATTTTGATATTGTTTGAATTGCACAAACTGCACGTCTTCTTTATTCTTGGTTTCCTATGCAGATTAAAATTTTTATAAAAGATTCTTTTATAGCTAGCGAAAGATATTTAATATCTTTGTTTTCTTTCTTATGCTCTGTGATATCATAATTCAAATACTTAGTCCCAGTTTGCGATCTACAGTAACTGCTTTATGTGACTAATAATGGTATTCAGTAACCGCTTCTTCAGAAAGTTTATTTTTTCCACCTTGCAGCTAGCCTCTGGCGTCTTTTGTTTCTTCAGTCGTAAATTACCACAGAGCAGTATTTATTCTTTTAAAACTTGCTTTAAGCGTATTTATAAAAAAATCTTTATACACTGAAACAGTGTCTAAACAATAACTCCGGGTGAAAGACCTCTTTTCAGAAATCTTATTTCGTTTACGTTTTATAGGGGTTTTTTGAACTTTTGCAGTAATAAAAGCTGTTTACGCAACATAGTTAGCTAACTTGTAAAAGTTTTCAAAGATGTGCTTTCTTTTAGCTTCGCTAATTAAGTTGACACAATTGCGAGTACAGTTACATCGATATTCGCTTAAGAATTTTGTTGGCGCCACAAGTTTTGCTATTTCCGTATAATAGGGTTGGCTGGTTGGCGTACTTAATTTCTTCTTCGTTTTGAAATTTTGTTCCTTAAATTTTCTTTTTCTTCCTTTTTTAGGCTTTCTAATGTGTTCGCTGATCGCATTTTCAACTACATTGTCTTCATTTTCACTACTAGATGGGCTGTTGCTATTTTTAGATGTAATATCTTCACAGCTGCTATTTTCAGAAGACGGATAATCTGAATCATCTTGTGTATGATGATCTTCAGGGACTGTAATGTTATTTACTTCGATTTCAGGCGAAGCATTTGTATCATTATCACTATTTTTATAAAAATGTCGGTTGGTCCCTTTCTGATAAACATGGTCCATATGTAGTTACCAACAGTTGCTGGCAAAATAAGCTTTTCAGCAACTATGTGCGGATTACTGGTTTTGGTAACGCGACAAACAACTTTATAACTTGCTAATAACGCTTTTAGATTAGTAGTAGTTGTCAATGCAAAAGTATCTTGCTGCTTATAAAGGAAGTGCAACTGTCTTTCAAAGAATTCCACAAGGTTGTCTTTTTTATATGGGTGTTTGCTATTTAAATGTCGAAGTAGCTTCGATGACTTTATGCTTTCTTTTGAGAAGATTTGTCCACAAATAACACATTATGGTTTATTCTACATAACAGTAAAACAATATTTAAGATATTCATCGTTGTAAAGCCTAGTTTTTTTTATTACTGCCACTTTCTGATGTAGATGGTTCTGCGCTTCTTTTTCAAAACTTACCCATCATTTGTAATTTACAATACGTAAACGTATAATACTTACTCAGTGTCGCAATGAGTAGGAGGAAATAGAATAAATAATTTTGGGAATCATTGATCAAGTCCTTATATAAAGAATACTTGTCGCTGTTCTTCTAGCTGTAAACAGGTGGTCTATTTGGCAATTATCACCTCAGATTGGTACATTTCGCATACAAACAATCAATCATCATAAATAATTTTTTGTAGTCATAAATTAATAATGTATTTTAGTAACAAATTTATGAGTTTAACATTTAAATGTTTATAGAAATGTTTAATGCAAATCGTTATTTCATATTTAAATATTCAAAAAAAAACGAAGGACGATTACAAAATACTTTATCTATTCAAATCATTTTATTGCAAGTTTTATATATTTTTGATTAAAATATTTTACTTAACGTTTTAATTAAACAAAAAGAATTTAAATTCGTCATTGAATATTTTTATGTAATCGTAATTGATGAGTATGAAATAAAATGGTAAGAATTTTTTGCGTAGGTTTGAAGGAGTTCCCACGTTTTTTCCACATAGAACAGAATATTCACGAAGAAGAGCTGTGTAACATCTTTAAAGATCATGGTCAAAGCAGTAGAGCGATCAAAATAACATTGGCGTGATAAAAAAGGTTAATTCCAGTGGTAAAGACTATTAAGTGAGAGTGTTATTTATACTTAGGTTTTATATAAAAAGCAAATACATTTTTATTTATTATTCATTTATTATTGGTAATAAAAAAATCTTATGTACATTTTTTTTTCATTATAATACAAATCGGAGCAAGAAGATAGAATAAATCACAGAGTGTCCAACAAAAATAAACGAATTCGTTTTAATACAACAAAAAATCATTTTACATTATGGTCTGTTTAAAGTTTAGGTAGATTGGTTTTAGAATTTACGTTGTGGCTTTTCTTCCGGTTGTGGATGAGCGGCGATCCAGTCCAAAGCTCTGGCAATATATGCTGGGATTGGTTGTGGTTCTGGTGCAACCGGAAGATGGGCTCCTTGTGGTTGGAATCCGTTTTCATCAGCTACGTATTGAATTGAAATTTGTTCACCTTCTGGCGATTTGTATTGGAAACCACCTTGAGCAGCAACCGCTGGTTCTTTTGAGTTGGTTAAAGATCCTTGTTCTTGGGCGGAAATACCGTTGTCGTTTTCGTAACTAAAATAATAAATTATTAAATAAAATCAATTTTGTTAATATAATTTTTGTTACCTCCATTGATAAGAACCGTCTGGGTTAACATCGCTACTTTGTCTAAGAATAGATGCTGTTTTATCACTTTTTTGGGCAGCAGCGCACGCTAAAATAGCGGTGAGGATAATCTAGGAAATTATAGAAATTAGTATATAAGAGTAATAAAAATTCTGTTTAAAATAATTTGAAACAAAATTGAAACTTACCAAAGCGTTCATGGTTGTATTGGTTAAGTCAAGTGGTGAACTGATAAAAATCACCTAGGGAGAAGCAATATTTATACAAGAAGTTGTTGACATTTTACCCACACACACTCTTCTACACTCCCTCCTTTATCCCAATATTGTATGAGATGTCCATCCTTTTGCTCCTCTCCACAATTTCAATTTTCAATTCAAAAAGGACAACTTTCTATGGTCTAAGATCTCTTTAATATTCGATTGTGTAAGTTTTGTCAAAATCTATTTTTAACGCCAAATCGCAACAATTTCTCGATTTCACAAGTAAATCCATAAAATTATCTAAAAAAAGCCTATTAATTATAAAATTAAGAAAGAAAAAGTTTCGAACAAACATCTAATCATAAATAACATAATTGGTTGTATGCGTGTTTAATTAAATTGTTACATACATTAATGAAAATTGTTAACGTCTCTATTATAAGGAATAAAAAGGATAATTTGCATAAACTGTTTGTAAAGCTATAATAACTGTTAGCAGTGTAATAAATTTTTCTTTTTATTAATCCGATTTATTTAATTGATTTAATACATTATGTGTTAAGATTCAAAAAAAAATCAAGGTAAACTTAAAAAAATTCAATTTATTTCAGAATACTCTTACTAATTCGAAGAAACAACTTTTTGTGGTTTTCGTTACAAAGTTATTTCTACAAAATCGCTTATAAATAAATGTTTGAGAGGTGTTAAAGAGATTCATGCAAACAATAATGTCAAGGGTATCATGTGGATGGTAGATTTCGCCATTTGAATTAATAATAAATTCGTTATTACGTTTCTTTTTGAGTACAATTTTTCTTTTCTAAAATTAAAAAGAAAGCAAGTACTTGTGACATATTATATAAGACACTTATCAATGAATACGTAAAAAGGTTAACTTGTAATAATTAAAATGATGAAAACATTAAAATAAAATAATTATTAAATAGTTAATTTAATTAATTCAAATTTCTATTTGTTGAGGTGTAATGTAATAATGTTATAGTGTAACATATCACGTAATATTTGCTTAAAAGTTTTCACCAGAATTCTCCCATCAAATACAATCAACCAAAAAAGAGATAAAACCGCGCACGAAGCGAGACGCCCATAATCGACACCCAGCACCCATTGTGTTATATAATGGTTCAAGAGGTCAAGGACGAATCGGACCCGATTTTGCCATTCGAAAACTTCTATTTAACCGTCCGTCTTCTTGTATCGTTAGTAAGTTTTCTAAACGGATAAGAAAATGACGATGAAATAATGTAAATTACAAAATTTACAATTACTTTAATTAGCTGTGGTGCACTTTGCGTGGATTCGCAGAACGAACCCAAAGAACTTTCGTGGGATTTCATCATCTTCGTTGGCAAGAAGAAGCTTCTTAAATTTGCTATAAAACTTTTTTTATATTATACTGGTGTTTTTACTTGAAATGCGAATGTAACTTGCATCACATATTCAACTTGGAAATAAATTTTATATCAAATTAAAGCTAAAACGTACGTGTTACTCCATAGAATCATGTTTCAATTATTTTTTTCTGAATAAAGAAATTTAGTTTATCCCAACTCGATGAAAAGATCGAGAAAGAACACACCAGAATATTCCAGATGAAGTAAAACGAAGTCTACGTCTGACTAATTGTGAATAAGGTGTGAAATACATCGTAAATCTTTTTGTCAATATTCGCATCATGCGTACGTCTCGTCTATATTTTTAAAACCATACATTTGAAGATTTACATTTTTATTTTTACATTTTCAATTCTATTTGATGACGCAATCGATTTGAATTTAATTCGATTCATAAAGAACAAAGTCTCCTTCATTATGATGTAATCGTTTTTCGATAAAAACTTTTAGTTTTTAAGTTGTATTCTATTTAAATTAAGCAATTTTTTTGATTCGTCAAGGTTAGCTAAGTTTCTTTCCTTTTCATCTATAAATTCGTGAAGAGCCCATTTTCTCAAAAATAGTTATATTTTTAGAAGGAATAAAGATAATCATGTATGTTATTTTGGTGAAATCCGATTTTATATGTCTCATTCAGTTTTGTAGATAAATACATTTATTCGCAATCATACATATTTGCAAAATCGTTTATCGTTCAATCGGGTCATGTATAAGAAACATTTATAAATAACAAACCTTTTTATAACGAAATCCGTTTTTGAAAATCACAGTTATTTTGTAAGTCATATTTTTTTAGTTATTCGATATTCTATGATTTGTGAAAATTTGTGATTGTTGAAATTTCACAAAAAATCCATTTCATGAAATATTCTGTTGATATTTTCAGAATATTTAAAGATAATTATGTATTTGATCTAAGTGAAATCCGACTGAATATCTCATTTGGCTTCTTAGATAAATAACTTTAATGATAATCATACGTTTAAACATTAATGATGATTAGACTTGAAAAAATCGTTAAAAATCTGTTTATAATGTGATCGGATCTACTGTAAGACGACTTATAAGGAACAAAGCTACTTATTTTATGGTAAAATCCGTGTTTAACAATCACATTTAGTTCTTAAGTTAGTTTATATTTTTTTAGAGGTAAATGATATGCTGTGATCCGTAGTTATAATTTTTTGTATTATATTGTTATAAATTCCAGAAAAATCTATTTTTTGAAATATTCCTATGATATTTTTAGAATATATGAAGATGATTATGTATTTTATCATGGTCAAATTCGATTTTAGTACCTTCATTTAGATTTGCAAATAAATATTTCTAATCACATTTCTAATGTGATCGATTTTTGTGTAATACTCTTTAATTTGACGATCCGATTCCGGCCGAATTAGTTGACAAAACTGACCAGATCAAAATACAACTATTTCATTGTAAATAAAATTTATGTATTATACAACCTGATTCAGAGTAAGCGCCTAATTTTTTTTAGCCACACTATGGGTACTACTTTCAAAATATTTGGCAGTAATATGTTTTAGGACATCCTCTACACGATGGTGATATCACATTTTCAATTGGACGAATTATTTCAAAATGGCGACTGTCAACTTTTCTTTTTTAAATGGAATGCCAAATTTTTTTTTATTATTGAGATCCTAAAAACATTCTTTTTACGATAGTATTTTGTTTTCCTTAAAAATTCATTTCTTTCCCCATCAAAAAGAAACTAACATTTTAATCTAGTAGCGCATGAATGTTTTACACTCGATGTTATTTTTGCCCAAATAAGTAAATAAGTAGACGTTTATTACAAAATAAAGTTTAAATGTTTCTTTTGTGCCTAGCGCTACTTGATATTTGGACAAAAAACATCGAGTGTAAAACATTCATGCGCTACTAGATTAAAATGTGTGCTTTTTGATGGGGAAAGAAATGAATTTAAAAAAAAAAAACAAAATACTATCGTATAAAGAATGTTTTTAGGATCTCAATAATGAAAAAAAAATTTGGCATTCCATTTAAAAAAAAAGTTGACAGTCGCCATTTTGAAATAATTCGACCAATTGAAAATGTGATATCACCATCATGTAGAGAATGTCCTAATAGTTATTTATGTACCAAGTCGGCAAAGTGATGCAACTCGCCTGTTTACTCGCCTCGTTCGCTTCGCTCGCTCGACTCGCAAACTGAGACTCGTTCGATAAAGACACTTTGCTGACGTGTTGCATACAACATTTTATCGCCAACCGCTAAAGGCGCTAAAGTGAAATTTACTTTAGCGCCATAACGCTGAAGTACTTTTTTGCTATGTTGATCTTAGCAACCGTCGTTATGCAACAATGACTTACTTCTACCGCGAGTAAACACGACAACAAAGTTGTCATTTAATGACGTTTGAAGAAAAAGTACTTTTTCTGCCGCATATGCGGCAGGTAAAGTACTTTGTCTCCCGCTAAATGCACAGTTTACTAGATAGTAGCACAAAGTGTCACTTTGGTGCCGCAAATGGATAGCATAAAGTATGGTTTTGCTGCCGGTTGGCGATAAAACATATTACTGCCAAATATTTTGAAAGTAGTAGCCATAGTGTGGATAAAAAAAAATAAGGCGCTTACTCTAAATCAGGCTGTATAAAGGTGATTCAAAACTAGCATTCCAAACGAAAACTGTATGTAGAAAAAGTTATTTCAAAAAGAAATTAAAGAAATCTTCTTTTCCCATCAGTCTTCGTTTCCGAGATAGTCGTTTTTTAACGAATTTTGAATTTATTTTAATTGAAACAGCTGTATTTATTAAAAAAAAATATATAAACGTAGATAAATGTACATATTGTATTTCCAGTGAAAAATATGTAAATACCTACATTTAAAAATAGAACAGAAAATAAATACTATCACTGTTTAATACTCAAAATTACACTTTTGTAAATTATGAATGAAAAGTATTTTTTCTGGGTTAACAGGAGTTAATCTAGAACGGCGGTCTTCTTAAATTATTCCCATTTCAGAACATGTGCGTTCGCTATACACGCTCCTTGCAGGGCTTGACACATACTTTCAAGCTATTTTGCTTAATTGGGGATACAAATACAGGATAGGTAAATTCAAAAATGCAATATCATTAGGATCGTTGAGAAAAGGCCTTTTTTATAAAGCCATGGCCAACTATGATTTCCATTAGTCTATAACTCAAAAATTATTGCTTAAATAAAAAAATCAGTTAGACTGTTTTATTAAACATATAATACCCTACAAATTTTTCCTTTACACATTTTTCCTAAAATCAATAATAACGGAGTCATAGGTATCGAACGATATAACAAAAAACGGTTTTTTGGAGAGATCTAGTTAGCCATGCATTTCATCCAAAAAACAAAAAACTCATTAAGTTCATAAAACTGCAATTCTTTCTCTGTTTAATCGTCTCCCTATTTCCGCTAGTTTTCGAGATCTACATGGAAAAATACTCACCTGTATAATAATAATAAGTTTATTGAATATGCATCAAAATGCACAATATTCTCGTCAAATAAAAGTCGTAATAATAATGACCATAAAGAAAACAGGTGTTCATTAGTATATCTTCATTGCTGCAGAGTATTCGTCTATGAAGTAGAATTCCTTTTCTAAGAACATATTATTGACCTGTCTCTTAAAAT